TTTTTTAAAGACAAAAATTTTTGAGGCGAAATACCCAAAAAGAAGTTTGTAAAAAATAAAGAACTGCGAAACAAGAGCACTATTTATCAATCTGTAATAAAACACGTGAGGAAATTCTGCCTTTTAAAGACGAAAACTTTTGAGGCAAAGTACCCAACAAGCAGTTTGTAAAAAAATGAATCCGCCTCAACAACCAACTTACCTACAATTTAATAAAAGTAAAAACAAAGAAAATATAATAAGAAAAATCCATTTCAGGTTGGGACCTGTGTTTGGAAACTGTGTGCCTGGAAGTGTTGTAACTGGAGCCGTATGCGTTTACACATTTTTCTGTTGTGCCTTGTGCGCCCTCTTCCAAGTGCCCAACCGAGACTTGCAAAGTGGAATTTGGTGGACGGTCGTTTTTGCCTCAGTTTTCATACTAGTGATGGCAGGAAGTAAGGATTAAGTCCACCTAAGTAACTCGTTTAGTTGCCATTTTCATTCGTTTGCTGCTTTGTCCCATCTGGACCATCTGATTCCCTCAATAATCACAATTTTTTTAAGGTTTAACAGTAATTTGTGCACATCACCAAAACCCAACCAATCTCCAGTTCAAAGTGCCTATGGTTCCATTTGTCCCCGCTATAAGCATATTATTCAACATTGAATTCATGGTCCATCTGAACCTTCTTACATGGCTGCGATTTTTCGTCTGGATGGTTATAGGCAAGTACCATTGAAGAAAGGCGGGTTTGAGTGCCCAGACTTTGCGTCTATTTGCAGGTATGCTGGTGTATTTCCTCTATGGAATCCATCATAGTAAAGAAGGCGAAGGAACGTCGTCATACTCTATTCTGATGACTTCGTCCGAAGCTGGCAAGGAAAAATGGGGTTCCACCACTAAAACGAACCTCAAATCGGTTCTAACTCACCGAAAATCATCCTCCGGAGATCGAAGTGCAATAATCGATGATGACGATGATGATGATGAAACTGAGTAGGATGATTAGTTTAGCGCAAATGTAGGCGAACCGGCGGAACTTTCTGATAAAGTTCTTTGCAAAGTACCAAAAATGGAAATGGACGAAGTCGCAGACTAAGTGCATTTTGAAGGAAAAGCCTCTTCTAGCAAAATCAAATAATAGCAGGTATTATCCAGAACAGACACACTTTAGATGCAACAATGTTAACCTACAGAAAAGCAGTTTTACTTGTTAAATATGTCATTTAAAATAGGTGAGCTACAAAAAGCTGGTGATTTTTTCAAATGTTATAGCAATGTTAATTTTGCTTGATTATATTAAGGGTAAATAGACATAATGTTAACAATGTTTAGCGTGTTTTTCGGATGCGGATTTATATTAAAGCAGCATAGCAGGAAACCTACAAACACTGCAAAACAATTTGCGTGTTCAAACCACGTTTTGCGGCTTTGTGTCCGACCACACCCCATGATATGCGGGCTTCGTTACATAAACCTTGTTGTTTACTCCCATCGATCTCTTCCGGAGAAAATGCAGCTTGCATGACACCCCTTTCCTACAGCTATCAGGGGCGGATGCAAGCTTTACGAGGCCGGGGACTGAAATGAACATGCGACCCCTAATGTTGCGTATTGGTTTGATTATCTTTTAATTTTATTATTGTTATTATTGAATTAATTTTACTTCTTTATCAAAAGAGATAGACTTTCGAGGTCAAACGTCAAGAAGAAGTTCTACCGAACGACGAGAATGTAATCCTGACGTTTCGCAAGCACGAGTGGCTTGCATCTTCAGAAGTGGTTTGCTTGAACGCTTACACTGTTCTCATCAGAACCCGTTCAGTTCTTC